GGCCTGGGGTCGGTTGTTTCTGCAGCTGCACCGAAAGCAGAGGAGAACGGGGGAAAGAAGAAAGCAGAGAGAGAGAAAGCAGAATCAGTGGACGAGCAGAGAAAGTTCATGCAGGAAAAACAGCCCAATAACACCAGAAATCGTTAACGCTCCGCGGTATCAATTCAGCAAGCGTGACAGGCAGCTTGGGTTGCACACACCGACTGCTGTGCTCTGGAGTTTGTGCACAGGGATCCATCTCTATTAAAAATCTATAGGCACTACAGTGCAATGGAATCTGCTTAAAGGGAAACCTCTCTTAGAGGAGTAAAAGTCCTCTGTGGCTTCTATGGGCTTCCTCATTTCACACATCCTCCTTGGCCTCACTGTGCTAAATTCCCCAGTGGGATGCAGCCCACGCCAGCTTGGCCGGCTCCTGTTCCAATGAAACTTTCCGCATTGGGCCCAAGTCAGCTCCCCCATCAGTGTTTATCAGCGCTCGGTCCAAAATCTATGTATTTACGGCCAAATGTTTTGGGGCGAAAGTTTCATTTTTGTGCAACTTTTTCATCGATTATTTCTTTGGAGGGATTTTAATTGACAACAGTTTCCCCCCCTCCATTTTTTTTTTACAACCAAAACTGACAGTTTTGGGGGTTTCAATTTTTCAACGAAACCTTGAAAAGATTTTGATGACAATTTCTCTTTGGTCCAAAAGCTGGGGGAAAAACGTTTGTGAGGAAAAACTTCCAGCCAGTTCTAGTTTTTATTCAGTCTCCGCCCAAGCAGAGCTCCCAATGAAATCAGTGGGAGACTGGTATAGTAATAGGGGAATTGGGAACTCAAGGTTTGATTGAATTAGGGGCATTCCTTTGTATTTTACAGTAATAATTGCTCCACCCGCTTCAAAGACAATAGTGTAAGATATGATCATGTTTAGCAATTCTAGCAGTGTCACGCTTTCCATCTTCAGTGAGATTTGCAAACCAAAATGTACCCTTACAAACACCACCGTGCAGCGGGTTCTGCAGATGCCTGTAGTATTATTATTTTCAAATAAAGATCCCGCCCGCAATGATATTTGCGAGGAGAAGATTGTGGATCAGGAAAACTCCAACCAGCTACGTTTCTGGGTCCTCAGAGCTGTTCCCAAGTGTCACCAATACAAGAGAGGAACAAAAGCCAAAATGTGCCTCTATGGCTCAAAGCAACTGCATGGATTAGCAAGAGAGTAGACTCATAGGAGCCTATCCTGGATATAAATGGGTGTGTGGAGAGAGAGTAGATGGGGGAGAGGCAATGTTTCCTCACAGCTACAGAAGGGTCCAAGCCACAGGATTTGGATCCATTATTCCACACAGGGGTTTGGATTGATCAGCCGAATGGGTCCCAAGACTCCAAAGATTGAATCGGGATCCAGGTCCGAGCTCCACCAAAGATCAAAGGCTGGGAGTGAGCTTCCTGGGCTTGTATGGGATCAGAAGCGGAAATCCCAGCATGCCCAGCCAAGCCACAAGCTGGATGGACTGGAAACCTTAGGATGGGGTCTGTGCCTGTGACATTGTAACTGTGATTTTGAAGCCCAAAAGCTCAGGTCAACCTCCAAAATGCAGGGGCCTTCTTCGAGCTGTGCTACTTCCCAGAGCCTTCTGAAGCTCCTCCATCCATAACCAACAAAACCTACCTTGGTCCTCTGGTCAGCCACCAGAGTGTTTCTTCACACAACGCACAGTCAACCTGTGGAACTCTTTGCCAGAGGATGTTGTGAAGGCCAAGACTATAACAGGGTTCAAAAAAGAACTAGATAAATTCATGGAGGATACGTCCATCAATGGCTATTAGCCAGGATGGGCAGGGATGGTGTCTCCCAGCTTCTGGCAAACAGAGGCTAGAATGGGCAACAGGGGATGGATCACTTGATGATTCCCTGTTCTGTTCATTCCCTCTGGGGCACCTGGTATTGGCCACTGTCGGAAGACGGGATACTGGGCTAGATGGACCTTTGGTCTGACCAAGTGTGGCTGTTCTTATGTTCTCTCCTCAAGTGTGTGCTTGGTTGCTAGATGGGTGATAGGGGCTAAGGGTCAAGGTTCAAAGAGTCCCACAAGGGTTTCAGGCCAGGCTGTCATTGCTCTCAGTGTGAGTAGAACATTTTGCAGTGGCTGGAAACGTAACCCCCTTTTACTGAACTCGAGACTTCCTGTATGGTGATTGCCAAGCGAGGGAGACCGGCTGACTTCCCCCAGCCTTCCCTCTTCTCTGCTCTGGAATAGGTGGCAGCAAGTTCAATATATCGGAGCATAAAGGAAACTGTCAGTGTTTGGGGATTGGTACTTCTTTCGCGTAGAGGAGTTAAACTGGACGGTTCTGAACGTACTGCTCTGGAGGCCAAAGCCCTCCTCCATTCGTCACAGATCAGCTCCAGCTTGGTGCGTTCTTCCCCAACACTGCCCCATGTGCCTCCACCCTGACCAGGCCGGGGCTGTGTGACGGGCTGTGCAAACCCTGCACCAGCCAGGAAGGGATGGTGGAGCGGTTCTGGGCTCACCGAGCCCTGCCCGGCCCGTCAGGAGTGCTGTGAGAGCTCAGCAGGAGGCTGCTCTGGGATGAGGACAGACCTGACGTCTCCAGCTCCCAGGGAGAGGCCTCACGGAAGGCAGGGACTGCTCCCATGACCACAGACTGTCCAGGCCCCCTGAGAGGAGGGCCAGGCTATAAACAAGACCCTTTCCGGTGGCTGAGCAGAGGACATTGAGCCGGACTGTGGCTTGCCCAAGACTGCCTGAAGGAAGAGAGGCTAGGGGCTCGTCTGGGACTCGTTTGTTTAATTTTCTCTCTGCCTTTAACCTCGGTGGGGGTGAACTCCAGGGGAGCTCAGCTGGAGGGCTGGGTTTCCGTCTTTGGGCCGGTGATGTTAACATCCACAACCTGGATGATGAGAGCCCAAGTAAGGACGTGACCCAAATGGGGGCTGCAGGGGGACCAGGCCCCTGACAGACCACCTAGAGGGGACAGAGGGGAGTTCAGACTCCAAGCTGACACTGCCAACATTTGGGTGCCAGCTAATGCTAATTGGGATGGTGTTTTTCATAACGCACACAAGTCCTCTGCTAGGAACTGGGTGGACCAGTGGCGTGCCGTCTGCGTGTGCAACGCATGCATTGCATGCCCCAGGACAGGCGGTGCAATTCCATCCGGCCCCCGAGTGCGCACAGAGGATGCCATTTTCTAGAAGAAAACGGCGTTCTCCGCACAGCATGACCTCGCAAGTGCCGTATGTGCAAGGTCGTACTGCATAGAGGACACCATTTTGTACGCAAGTGTAGAACTGCACGCCTGCCTACATGCCCCTGAGGTGGACTCTGCCAGTTCATTTAACACTGGCCACTGTCAGATGATAATGCCTTTCGGTTACTTCTGACCTGGGCTGGATCGGCACCGATGACCTTGAGGTCAAAGGCTCCTTACCCTGGCACTAGCTTTTTAATCTTGAACATTTCACTCAGCTGATCATTTGGAGGAACATTACCTTTCCTTTTTAGCTTCACCTGCAGCCCAAGAGTGAGCCTGGACTGCCAACCTGGTACCACCCAGTGTCCTAAAACCCTGGGATGCAGCTATTCCTGTTCTGTAAGAGCCACCTGTGGATGGCATGAGAGTAGGGACATGTGGGTTTAAGCAATCTATACGTTCCCTGACATGGAAACCAGGAAGCTAGTTCAAAAGGCAGACATTAGTGAGGAGAGCCATAGCTGTGCATGCTGGAGAAAAGCCAGTGGTTGCAGGAAAAAAATAATTGTGATGTAGGGTGTAAATAGTGCATTTCATTAGCTTGATTTCAGAGATGGGGAAACTGGGTCAGAAGACATAAGAAGTGATCTGAGGCCTGGTCTACACTACAAAGTTAGGTTGACATAAGTCGCCTTGCATGGACCTATTTGTGCAAGTGTCTACACTCAAATTTGTCTCTGGCTGACATAAGCGCCCCACTATGGTGATGAAGTAAAACTACTTCCTTGAATTGTGCGAACCTCAGCTTGGTGAGCCCCTTACCAGCTCTTCCCTGTGTGCAAGCAGTCAGGTACGCACGTGCACAAGCGGTATACTAACGTTGGCAGCTGTCCACCGACGCAACTTGTGTCGATCAAAGTCTGTAGCGTAGGCATGGTGTGAGTCTTCACGCATTCTTTCAAATGGAACTTTTTTTTTTTTTTTGAGGTTTGCAAAAATATTTGGCCAACGTTTCTAATTCGTTTGATTTGTCTCTGCATTGCCTAGTTCTGGGTAGAGCTAGAACCACACCAAAGCTGTGGTTTTGAACACCCCCCCGAACTGGCAAGAAATTCAGATCTATATTCAGATTTTACAAATGGCCCTTATGTCTATAATGGGCGGAGTAACCACATCCATCCACCCAGCTCCAGACATCTCCCAGACTTGGGCAAGTCCAGATTCACACCAGAACTCGGCTCCCCGCAGCTGTGAGTAGAAGCGAAGGAGCGGAACGATCACAACAAAGATTGTTCTGGTGAGATCTCCACCCAGATTTTGTGGATGAAAGAAGTTCTGAGAAGGTCTTAAGTGGCACCTGAACCTTTCCATATCCCCCCACCCATTGCTAGTAGCTTTCGGGCTTGATCCAGCTCCCAGAAAAGTTAACTGGAGCCTTCCCACAGATGTCAACAGGCACTGGATGTCTGGCTGAAGATTTACTCAGATGTGCCAGGCTATGGCTTGCTTGGCCGTCTGAGATGTGAGAAGCTCAAACAGCTTGGAAATCCAATTGCATTAGTAAGTCACTCAAGAGAAAAAATAAAACACCCAACCTGTGGCATTGGGCACAAACTCTGTTCCGTTTAGGAGAAAAAGCCAACCTGGATTTCAGAGGTATAATTAATAGCCACCCTGGCTGGTGAGGTACTTCTGAGCAGCGGATTGCACTCTGTGAGCCTGGCACGGTAGCTCCATTTAGCGTTCAGTGGTTGCACAAGATGAGGGGGGTAGGGGGGCGGGTTTCTTACTTTTGCAGATGGGGATCTTGTTGCTCCATGTTCCATCCTTCAGACACTCGATCTGGAAGGAGTCGCTCTCCATGTTATCCTGGGCGGAAGGGACAAGCGAAAACCATTATCCACGCAGCCAAAGGACCTTCCCCTCCCACTGCAAAGACTCATCTTCCCAATGCCTGACCGGGCCAGCTATCCACCTTAAAGAGATGCTGCTCGCTGGACAAGCCAGTAACAAAGAGAGTTTCCTCTTCATTAAGAACCCCTCAGTTTACTGAGTTTGAAAGAAAATTAGAAAAGAAATGTTTTTTTTTTTCTTTTCAAATATGATGGCAGTGGGCGCAGTATTAGAACCTAGATAGGAGGATGGAGCAACCTATCATAGGGTATTAGTGTACGGGGATGTAGGAGTGATGCTAGAGACAGATTATATAAGGAGAGAGAGAGAGAGAGAGAGATCATTTTATGAAGCCCCAGGGATGGGGTAGGTCGAGCTGAGGACAGCTCAGTACTGATTCAGAGGTAAGGGTTCCACCCACTGATTCATCAGCATTTCCCTCAGTTACCAGCTGCTCCGTGGAGGTCACCTACCAAAGGACCAGCCCTGCTTGGCTTGGGAGGGCGTAGCGGGGCATCACAGACAGCGGCACACCAGGTGCCTCCGTCTCTTGGGAAGATGCCAAGCCTCGCGTCGGGCTTATTTGTAGGTAGTTCGTTAGCTGGCGTGGGCGAGAGGTTTAGCTGGTGGTTGGGGGACGTGCTGTATTCTCTCTCGTCCCACTTCTTTAGTGGCGAGTTTGTGGCTATAAGTGTATTGGGCCCTTGTGGATAGTTCTTGCTCTGGGAGAGTTTGACGAGCTTTTGTTTAATTAATTTCTCCCTTCCGAGCACTGTCCGAGGAAAGGAAATGAGATAATGGAAGAGCCCGGTTGCCTTGAAATGAAGGGAACCTCTTAGTGAAGGAGAGCCAAATTCTTGGCTTCAGTAGAGTCAGACGAGCAGAGAAGCTGGCCCAGTTAGGACAATGAGGCGGCTTGCTCATGTATCGCTGGGGCCTTGCAGGGCGCACCTGCAGCCTCCTGTGGCAACGACGCCCATTCCGGGATCGTTTCAGAGCGTTTAGGGACCATCCGATCATCTAGCCTGACCTCCTGTGCCCGGGTTTTGGCTCATTACCATAGAACACTGTAGGCGTCCTTAAATAAGGACCTGCCTTTGGCTTGAACGCCAGACACGTGGAGCACCCCCCAGTGGCCCCAGGTTTCCTCTGGTGTAAGAGAGAAGAGAACCTGGCCCACTGCCCCAAACTCTCAGATCAAAGCCAGTGGCTCTTGTACCTTTAGCACGTTGTAGCCGGTGTTGCAGCTGACGACCACCTGGTCCTTAAAAGTGTACTTGGCCTGCGAGGGCTCGATTTTCCCGTTGATTGGCGGCTGCACCAGTGGGCACGGGTTCCCTTCGAGGGGGTAGGGGAGAAACAAAGAAAGACCACGCTGACTGACTGGCGAGAGTGTGCGAGGGGGGAGCCCCAACCTATGGAGGCTGCTCTGAAATTCCAGGACCCACAGCTGTTTATTAGGATAATAGTACCCAGCAATTCTCACTGGGCCAGACCTGCAGGCAGAGGGGCGTGTTACGGGGGGCACAGATATTGTTGCTTCCTAGCGGGTTGCCTTTGGAATCCCCCCCGAGCTATCTTGCCCGCTCCCTGGCTATTTTCTAATGTTTTGGATGAGATGAGGACCGATGACTGCAGACTTAGCATAGTCCTCCTGTTCCTCCCAGTGGCCCAATGCTCGGCACTGCTGCTGTTAGTCAGGTACATCCAGGTGGTTTCCAAGTGGCAAAAAGATTTGTTGGCGGGGCCAGTCGGTCAGTGAGGTCGTCCCTGCAGCTAAGCTAATGCCCGGGGTGAGCTGCCTGCTGTGCTGAACCTGCCATGTGATTGGCACCCCATGTACCAGGCTGGGACTGAACCATCCAGCTGGTAGGTCAGGGCAAGCCGCTGGGGGGAGCAAGGACCCCAGCTGTTGGCTCGCCCGCGGGTGGGGCGGTGTGACACATGCACTGATTAGGACGGGGTCAGTGACCTCTCCTGGGCAGCACCATGCAGAGGAGGAGGATTAGGGTGGGGGGTGAGATGCCAGCAGCAGCAACTGACCCTGGGAACCTCTGCATCCAAAAGCATAAGTCTGTCCTAAGCTCAGACCACTACCTAGTTGTATTAGCCCAGGCTGCCGCCACCTGTTTCTGCGGGCCCGCCACCACTAGAGGGGGCCAGAGAGCTGCGCTGAATGTGGGCGGGTTACACCCTACAGGCTCCTGCGTGCCAGTCTGGACTGCGCTGCCGGGCAGGCTGCACACAGACTTCAAACCGTTCCCCAGGCCTGGCTCAAGACAGCTGTGGCAATGGCACAGAGCGACATTACTGAGGGAGGGTGCACCATGAAATTCAAAAGGGAGCCCATTTAGCGTGCAGGGTTAACCTATGGAACTCACTGCTGCAGGATGTTAGTGAGGTCAATAAAGAGCTTGGTAAAGTCCAGAAAAGAGGGGTTGATGCTTGTCTGATTGGCGGTAGCCTGTGCAGTGACACTGGCTAGTGAGGATCATGGGAGATCCCTGTCCCCATGTTTGAGGACACAGCCGCGCTCAGGGAGAAGTCCCCGTCCAAAGGACAGGATGGCTCAGTTAAATTCATTATGCAAGATCTATCCCATCCCCTGCCTGAAGTCTCTGGCCTTGGCCATTGTCAGAGACAGGATTCGGGACCAAGTGGAGCCTTGGTCTCCATCCGCAGGGTCCAGCCCCCCATGCGCGGTGCAGGGAAGAAGCCAGAGCAGTTACCGATTGCCGTGTAGGATAACTTCCACCCTCGGTTCTCTCCTGAGCTGTCGCTGTGGAACAGGATCTGAACGCTGTTGCTTTGGGTTTCTAGACGTCCTGGGGATTTTTCCCCACAGAAAGGGCCGAACTCCTTCCGACCGGCTTTAATCTGCCAGGAGCAACAAGAGGAGCTAATGCAGAGAGTTCGGCTCCTCACTACGCCCGGGGGCTGGCGCGTGGGTCTCGCTACGCCCGGGGGCTGGCGCGTGGGTCTCGCTACGCCCGGGGGCTGGCGCGTGGGTCTCGCTACGCCCGGGGGCTGGCGCGTGGGTCTCACTACGCCCGGGGGCTGGCGCGGGGGTCTCACTACACCTGGGGGCTGGCG